TATCACAGTCCACGAATTTCAACGCCTCAATGCGCATTCTCGCCGGTCTCATCATCGCTGTCGCCGTTAACGCCATCCTCAACTCTAAACCGTCTGGTAACTATTGCGGTTCCCCGGTTATCCCCTCCAAGGGTAAAGGTTTCGTCCAGGTCAATGTAACAAGCGATACCGCCTTCAACATTTCAGCCTCGTGGACTCCCACTGGTGGTTCGAAGAAAAGCGGCACTGAGACCGACGTGCCCTATTCGTACGATGACTCGACACAGGATGTGACCGTCACGGATACGAGCAAGCTGCAGGATCTGATCACCAAAATAGATGCTCCCCTGAAGGCCTCTGATCTCGCTCATCTACACTATGATGGCAAGGATCTGCATGTCGTTGCTCTCCTCAACTTCCCCCTGGAACCATGTTAGCCCAGGTCAATGACTCGTTGAGATCTGTGAGAATCTCATAAGAAGACTCCGGCAGTCGACAGTGCAAGGCTGTGTCTCGAGCACTGCTCCTTGTAGAAGTCTGGTTGTTGTCAACAACTTCGCGTTGATCTATTTCAATGATCTCTCCCTGGCAGAGATTTTTCTCCGATGAGTTTAGGATGGGCTGTTGATTAAATCACATCACCTGATGATCAGATTCTGATCTACTGCAGCACAAGATTGATAACGGTGATGAAATCCCTAGCTCAGTCTACACGGTTCTTGACATAAAGTCTCGAGTCTAAATGTCAACATAGCGACTATTTCAAGTTCAGTCTTTAGTTAAGTGTTGGGAGCGACGTAGAGAACTAACGATGAAAGGCCAGCGCGCGATTGACGAACAGGACAGATCGGTATGGACCGATATATGGAAAAAAGGAACCTTGACACTCTAGCTAACTCGTAATGATCTATCAACATGATATGTTCGCATATACATTGGAGCGCTCTAACATCTCTAACATAAAGTTTGTAGTTCTAAACACGATAGTTTCGTGAAGATACCTGATTGACTCTTTTATCCTTAGAACAAAGCAAGGAACAGCTCTTGTGCGCAGATCACACTGAGCAAAAAAAGGGCAAACTTAGTGGTCATTGGAGACACTTGGTGACACTGACGATGATCGCTGGTTCGAGAATCCTGGGCGGGTTGCTCCCGGAGCACTGCTCCGTATCAACTCGGAGCACAAGACTACCTTGAGACGAAGAAGCATAAAACGAGGACGAAGGGGACCCTCGAATCGGGTGACCCGGTCAAGCAGTAACTAGAGAATCGACAGGACGGAAAGCCCCGTCTAGTCTAAGAATGGTTTACCTATACATCCATGATGGACTTTGCTGTCATAGGAGGTTACGGAGTCATCGCGATGACGTCAGTGACGTCACGTCACTCACCATCATCTGCAGCCGCTCGAAAAGGTTCATATTCTACTTCTTGGTACTCGTCTTGTATTTATGCAATATCAAAGCCAGTAATAGAAGGATATTGTTCACGGTTGTACTCATCACAGATTCTGTGGCTCAGGGGGTTGATGACCAGCACTGTGGCTCTAGGTGCCTGGGAGATGTTTCTCACCCGCCCGTCCCCCCTAGAGGGTCGCCTGGTGGTGGTGACTCCTTTCCGGCTGAGCGATTCGCGACGAGAGATCATCTCCCAGTTGCCACGCAAGGTCGTGGACGGAAGCTGGGGATTTTCGTTGTTTCGAGCCCCTTAGCTTATGGCAAATCCATGACGTACTATGGCCTGCAGTCCACAGTATGTATTCAAGTCGAGGTGTCCCATCTTGGGATTCAAACTAACTGGCCTGATCACAGGAAACGCGAGCGATGTTCATTAAGCATTCACGGGAGAACAAGATGAACACGGGATTCCTGTTAGACTGACTTCCCGGCACGGACCGTGACAGCACAACGGTTGCCTTGACTCACGGTCTGCATTGATAAGTCATTCAACTCCGTCACAGGACCACTCATAACCTTCGCATCTCAGACTTGCCAAGCTCTGTCCGCTCAACGAAGATGACTGTGCCAGGACACAGGATTGTCGGGTTCGTTAACAGTCATTGCCGTCTTGTGCTGAGCCTTTTTGTATCTGCGTACAAATATTTCATGGCGATGACGGATTCATCGGGATTCATCGGCTCGCTTTCACTCGGAGTACATTCTGAGGGAGAATCCGCCTGCTGCGGCGTTGGTAACTATTTAGTTCGTAGTCTTACAAGTAAAATTACTTGTCATGAAGTGGCTTTCCCGGCACGCACACACATAGCTGTTTCACGCAGCGACCTACCTTGGATTTCCCCTCTACACAACAAGTGTAACGCTCAACACTTGTGGACCCGATAAGGTCGACATTACGAAGTTGCTGATATCTCAGAGATTGGATTGCTGCTGTGCATTTGAATTAGTAATTACTATTTGTATGAATACGCAGTACTGTACTATCCATTGATGGCTCATCGATGATTGATGTTGCCTGTTGTGTTACTCTTCTCGACTCGAGACTCTTCTCGTACGATGACTCGACAAAGGATGTGACCGTCACGGATACGAGCAAGCTGCAGGATCTGATCACCAAAATAGACGCTCCTCTGAAGGCCTCTGATCTCGCTCATCTACACTATGATGGCAAGGATCTGCATGTCGTTGCTCTCGCTAACTTCCCCCTGGAACCATGTTAGCCCAGTTCAGTGAC